GGTGCCCCTCGAGGTGAGAGCGGCCACAGGTTGGTCACGGTATAGTCGTGTGTGCCGCACGCCAGGGCCACCTGCACTTGGAGGCATTTTGGGCTGAGCTGAGCCGGGCCGGGCCAGGTCACAGGGGGAGGAGCCTCCTGGGACCAGATGACACTGGCTGCCATTTTGTTCCATGCAGGATTTCATCATACTTTAGGCCGTGTTCAAAAATACCAACAAAAACCAAATCTCGATAGATGATTCCATGCAGTAAAAGAAGGACTGATGTCAAGATACTGTGCTATCACTAAAATTTAGTCTCACAGAAAAATCAGTTTGATAAAGCACTTAAATTGTGAGTTTGGGTTTATAGAAACTTCCATACGTGTATTTATTCCCCGGGTACCGCTGGCCGTTCTAAGATGTGTCGGGGGACACTCAGCGCAGCGGTCCTTTGGGGCTGAGGACGGCCCGAGCGGCTGGCTGACCCCCTGCCTTCCCGTCTCCCCAGCTACCCGTACAGTGAGGACGCCCACCAGGGTGAGCAGTACATGAACACCCGGTGCCCGGCCTGGTGTGACCGCATCCTCATGTCGCCGTCTGCCAAGGAGCTGGTGCTGAGGGTGAGTGCACACTGCCCCAGCCCCGGGTGCGGAGGGACGGACGTGGAGCCCGGGGTCTCCTCCAGCCCAGCCCTGGTGACGGGGCCCCGGGGGTGGAGACACCAGGTTGGGGGGCGGGGAATGCTGCCAGGTTTGGGCCCTGACCTCGTCCTGCAGTGAGCTGCACCCCAGCCCTGGGTCACCCCCGAACCAGCCCTGGGGCTAGGGCAGCAGCAGGCGGAGCCGAGTTCCTGGGCCACGAGGAGCCGGTGTCCTCTGAGTTTGACGCACACCCGAGGTCAGCAGGAGCTGTTCTCACACCGTAGTTCACTGTATCCTTGGAAGTCAACATGCTCTGTGCACACGGGAACTCACAGGCCTAAACATGGTGGAAATGTCTGAAGTTGCTTCCCTAAGTTGTGAATCAGAGCCAGATTCCTTTGGAGGCTTGATAAGTTAGAAATGAATGGGTGACATTTTCAGGAGATGACCCGGGTCGTGCAAAATTTTCAGATTTCCTGTGATTTTGTTTTTAATAAAGTTTGTTTTTTTTTGGTTTTTTTTGTTTTTTTTTTTTTACAAAAAAGGAGATGGGGTCTTGCTTGCTATGTTGGCCAGGCTGGTCTCAAACTCCTGGGCTCCAGCAGTTTGCCCACCTCGGCCTCCCAAAGTGCTAGAACTACAGGCAGGAGCTACCACGCCTGGCCAGCCTGTGACCTTTGACCTTTCATTCCCACATTTTGACAGACAAGGAATGTGTTCAGAAGAATCAGTATCTGAATTGGTTTTATCAACCCCGTCAATGAAAGTGAAATGCAGATAACAACAGATCCTGCTGGACTGTGGGAACCAAGCCACGCCCAAACCCAGAGCTGGGGCCTCTGCCTGTGACTCGGGTGGGCAGTCGGAAGGAGGCCGAGACTGTGCCGGCACCACTGCCGGCCTGGTGGGCTCTGCCCCATCTTCACCCTCCCAGGCCCAGAGCGGGGACAGGAGCCCCCTGCTAGCCCCAACCTCAACTCTAGCCGTGTGAGGGTCCCGTTGTCCTGCACTGCCCGTCTTCGTCCCTGTGCCAGATGGGACCAGACCCCAGGCACAGCAAGCCCCTGGGTACAGGTGCAACCTCGGCAGGTCAGGGGCCCCTGCAGCCCGCTCCCTGAGACGTGCCCTGCTGGCCCCCGCCACGTGGCTCCATCCACCAGGCAGGGCTCCTTTCCGTTGCTTCCTACGTCCTGGAGCACCCTGGCTGCAGCCTGCATTCAGTCCCTGGCTGTGCTATGAGGAGGGGCCTGCCGGATGGGAGCCTGGGCTAGAGGCAGGGACCCCCTTGGCCAGAAGCTTGTGGTGTCTGCAGCCAGCTCAGCTCCTCCACAGCCGCACCTGTGGCCTTGGGCAGGGCCTGTGCCCATCACTGAGGAAAGCATGCTGGCCACCCTATCACAGCTGCTCCCATGCTGTAGGGGGTAGGTACTCCAGCCTGAAAGCCCAGGAGTGGGCCTGGCCCGTAGTCTGGCTGTGGACACACCCCTGACCGTCTGGCTGTGCCCACTGGTGGGCACTCCTACCTGCCGGCGCTGACAGCAGGTCGGACGTGGGGAGCCCAGGGCTGCCAGCAGGGACGGGAGCCTCCTGGGATGCAGGCACAGACGCCATCCCTGGGAAAATGTCTCAGGTCATGAGCATGGTGATTGGCGGGCAGTGCCCAAGGGCAGAGGCTGGCAGGGCTGTGGCCTTCCCATGCTGTGCTGCCCCTGCCAGGGCTCTGCCAGCTCAGAGCAGGGCAGCGTTGCAGCCTGTCTTCCATTCGCTCACAACCTCTCGGGTTCTTTGGACTCAGGACTTGATGCTTTATGCTCAGATGGGGATGGAGCCTCACAGGGCACACCTGGCGGCCTTTGACAGGCCCCGCCTGTGCCGCCTGGGGCCGCAGTTTGGACAGGCTCTCCCCGAGGGGCCACCCAGTGGGCATCAGGCGTGCAGGCCAAGCAGACGGGTGCCGGGCGTGCTCCGCAGGCTCATCCATCATGACACGCGCTGTCACCTCGTCACCAAGCTCCATTCTTCCTCGGATCCCTGAAACACCAAAGGTGGCTTGGGCGCGGGCGGTGCTGCTTGGGAGCCTCCGTGACAGGTGTTCAGTGAGGTGTGCCTGCGCCTGCCGCAACGTGTTTATCTGTCCAAAGATCATGTAGTTGAAAATCCACGATTTGATGCTGCCTTTGTAAATTTCCACGCTGCGTTTGATGAATGTTTCCCTGCACCGCGGAGCCGCTGCTCTGCCCGGAGAGACTGGAGGTGCCCGTGTGTGCGGCATGGAGGCTGTTTTCATGCTTTCTGACGGGCGACCGTGCTGGAAACTAAGTCTGACCTTCAGCTTCCTGCTGCATTAAAGATAATTCAGTTTTAACTTGATAGTCTGAGATGCTCCCACTGCAGATATAAAATTCCAGCCCAGTCAGAGCAAGTGGTGACCAGCAGCAAACCCCTTCCCGAGGCGCCCAGAACCCAGGCGCTCACCAGGAAGTGTGCACACAGCCATTAATTACCATGCACAGATTGCTGTGTGTAGTGGTGTGGAATTCGGTGTCTGTTCTCATTTGAACACTGAGTTCTGGGTTAATAGAACAATCTAGAGCAAATGTAAGTGGGACAATGGGAAATTGATGGGCTGCTTCCCAGGGGCACAGCTGCACAGAGCTGAGGGTGCACTCACTGCTGTGGACAGGGTCCCCTGCAACTCCCCAGGAGCCCAGGAACACATCTGGGAGAGGGAGCTGGGGAGCAGGGCCAGCACCCGGGGCTCCCCACACCACCCCTCCTCCTGGAAGAAAGGACCCAGGTACTGCCAGGTCACCAGGGCCTTTGGTCCACGGGCTGGCCTCTCTTGGAGCCAGGCAGGGTGGGTGGCAGAGGTTGGGGAGGTATTTGCAGGGGCTGACCCCCCACCTCTCTGCACCCACAAAATCCTGATGTTCCTGCCGGTCAGCTGCCCACTGGACCCAGGGTGCCCCATTTCCCCACACCCACCTGTCTCTTTCCCCTTTCCAGTCGGAGAGCGAGGAGAAGGTTGTCACCTATGACCACATTGGGCCCAACGTCTGCATGGGAGACCACAAGGTGATGTACACAGGTCGAGGGACCGGGGGGGCTGGGGCCGGGGAGGCTGGGGCCGGGGATCCCGGGGACTGGGGCCCAAGAGCAGGCGGGTGGGGGCCGGGAGCTGGGGCCAGCAGGCGGGTGGGTGGGTGGGGGCTGGCCAATCTCTCCTCCCCGGCTCTGCGGTCTTCTTAGTCTGACTGTACAGACTAGGCCAAGCTGGTCTGCTTTTATTTGATTTTAATAAAATACCAAAAGCTAGGTGGGCAAGCAGGAGGAAGACAGAAATGGCTGGTTACAGTAAAACACGTCATTTTATATTTGTAAAGAAATGCTGTTGAGAGCTGACTGTTTGAAGACTGTTCGCAAACACACAGCTGCAGTTTTAATGGCATTCCTGGGGCAGGCTCACCATCAGCCGAGGCACACAACGTTTACCAGGCAACTGCTCCTCGAGAGTGCTCACAGGAGGGTTCTGACAGGAGACAGATCAGATCGCATTTTCAGCCCAGTTAAATGGGTTAGCTCCTTCGATGCTGGAGGCCTGGAGCTGTGAGCCCCAAACGCACCCAGATGAGACGCCGGACCTGCCCAGCGCAGCAGAGCCGAGGACGGGAGTGTCTTCCTTCCCCACTTCATTTGGGGCCTATTTAGCAATTCTTTTAGATCAGTTTCTTCATTGATTTTTTAACCTGGAAATAACACCTTCCTTGTCAAACCTCTCATGGCCGGCCCAGCTGCAGTTCCCCTAAATCCTGCTCTGCTGTGGCTGCGCACAAGGACTGAGCTGCCTCTGCAGGCCAGTGGCACCTCGTGGCCCGGTTCACGGCTGCCCTTGTGAGGCGCAGGGTCAGGGGTGTCACGGGAGGCGGCGGCGTATACTGGGCTGTCCTGCGTGTGCTGTGCTGACAACCCTCTCTTCCCGCTGCAGCCCGTGTTCCTGGCCTTCCGCATCATGCCCGGGGCAGGTAAACCTCACGCCCATGTGCACAAGTGTTGTGTCGTGCAGTGACATGGTGGTAAATATGACTCCTCCCCCTAGTTCAGTTTTTCCACAGCTTTTCCTGGTGCATTTGTTCCTTTAACGAACTATGAATTCCGTGACAGGGAAGAGATGCCAGCGCCACGAGAGGACCCTTCGTGAGCCTCCCTGTAGCCGTAACTGAATACACACTCTTCAAAGCTGCATCAGAACCCACCCGAGCGCCACCTGCTAGACGACCAGCCCACACTTCGCTTCAGCCTCCGGACCGTCCGGAGCAGCCTCACATACCTCACTGTCGTGTCTGTTCATATGACATTAAGTAGAAACTTTTTTTTTTTAATAAGTCACAGTCCTGTTGTCAAAACTCTAATGGGCAGCAAAGAGGGTCTGTACCGTAGACTTCACAGTTTTCAGTTTTTAAGGATTGTCAGTGGAGGGGCTTCTCCAGCATGGAGACCCCCGTGTCCAGAGACTCCCTCTGCCGGGTGGAGGTGCGTCCAGGGGCTGGGGAAGCCGAGACGGGCACTCTCTCTGCCGGCCGGCAGCGTGGCCCCGAGTGCGCCCAGGGGTCTGTCCCTGCCGATGCCCTTCCCGAGGCACTGACTCGGGGCCGCGTCACATGGTTTTCGAATCACACTGCAGCTGCTTTCCATTTTTATATATATAAATATATATAAATATATACTTTTTAAGAATAATTTATAAACCTTACCAAAACGTATGCTAAATGTACTTTCCAGTATGAATGCACAAGAGTCCCATCGGCAGGCAGCCCTGGCGTCCAGGAGCTCAGCTGTGTGTCCATCCGCACAGAAACTCGTGGACAACACAGGGGCTCGCCGCCACGCACGGCTGCACTGGCGCCCGCGACGCCCACCGTTCTTCTGTGTGATATTAACGACTGAATGTGAAGTTTATCGCTAGCCTGGGTGTACCTTTGAAGAATTTTGTAAGCCGTTTGTCTGTCTTTTGTTCCTGTTTCATGGTGCCAAGTATTCTACATTACAACAATAATATCATGGGAGAAATAGAAATAGCCTAGTTTGCTTCCAATAGAAATTGCTTTTAACATGGGCTGTATATAAAAATATTAAAGAGAAACAAACTGTACATTTCCTCCATGCTCCGCTACAAACAACCCATGTAATAACCTTGTTGCAAATATTTCTCTCCTAGCACTAAGTACAGCATTAAAAGGTGATGCGAGTCTGTTGATGAGACACAAATGTATGTTTTATTGATTTTACTTTAGAACACTACAGAGTTCCTGGCCAGTGAGGGCAGTTAGGTGGATGTTTCTGTCTAATCGCTACCATTGCAAGTGATCTGGTGTCCGCTGCCGACGGAGGACTGGGTCTGACCGTGTCCCTGCTGGGGTCGCCGGCTCCGCGGCCACAGTTCCAACACGGAGTCCGCCCCACGGGTTCCAGCTCTTGGTCATTCTGAGGGCCTTTAGAAGCGACTGGTCTGGTTCCTAAGCAATAAAATTGACCATGGTGAAAACAGCCCCGCGTCGCTGTCGCTCTTCCTTTCCCTTCTCCCGCCACCACCTTTGAAATGCTAACTCACGCCGGCCTGCAGACCTCGAGATCCAGCTCGTTAGAAGCCCTGGAATTTCACTGTATCACTTACTCCCACAAAACACCAAGCGTTACTCGAGAAAAACAACCTCTTGGGCTTTCTACTCTGATAAAGGATTTATCCCTCAACATTTTAAAAAGGGATTGTATAAACGCTTTGCCCTCCTCAGAACTCTGCCCCGGGCTGAGCTGAGAGAAGCGTTGCTTCCGCGCTTCGAGTTGCGTCCTTGTAAAGAAAGCTGAAAGCCGCCGAGAGCCAGAAACGAAACTCACCAAGTTTAAGGTTTTACATTTCTCTTCAAGGCTTCCAAAAATGCCCTCCGAGAGAAATCGTATCACCGCAAATACTTCATTTGCTTTTAATTTTTAAAAATTAAAAATCAATAGTCACACCCATTAAGACACAGCGATGACCAGCCTCAACCTCTGAGGCTGCAGGAGGGCGGGCGGGTTTTGTCGGCCGGTGTCACGGCCATACGGAGCTGTCACCGTTTCAGGGTAGGAAACGGATCCCCTGAGCCCCCGGCAGGGCGCTGCGGGCCTTGCCCAGGGGGTCTCCAGCTCCGTGGCACCGCGTGACCCCCGGAGGCCCCGCCGCTCCGCGGGCAGAATTAGTTCAGGCTTCTCTCTGTGGTTCCGAGTTTGAAAGAAACTGCTTTCACCGCTAAAAAGTCCAGCAGGACGTGGCGGAATGGCCTCGGCGCTGCAGTCGACACTCGATTCCCCCAGCTGCGTGGACTCGCACCAGGGCGGCAGGTGCGATGCCAGCCCCGGGGCAGAGGGACTTTTAAAATCCTAAGAGCAAAGAGCCTCCGCCGAGCGGGTGTCCAGCGCCAACCAGGACGTGGCCGCAAGCGGGAAAAGCAAAGAAAGAAAACCGTCCCGCGGGGACTCGGGCGGACCGCGGCTTACCCGCCCCCCACCCCCCACCCCCGGACCCCGCCAGCACCTGCGAATCCACCCGGGCCGTACCTGCTGCGGGGCGCGCGCTCCGTCCCCGGCTCCGTGGCGCTGGCTCCCGGCGGCTGTCGCTGGTTCCTCCCCTTCCCTGCCCCGCGCGCCTCCGCACCGGGAACCCGGAGGACTCGAGGCCGCCGCGCGCCCGAAGGAAGCCCGGGTCCCTCAGGGGCGAAGCCGGGGCCGCGGAGCTCCAGGTCCGAGACGAAGAAACACGCGGTGCAGGCTCCGGAGCCGCGGCTCCAACGCGGACCAGTTAAATAATTTATTGATGATACAAAGCGACTCGGCCCCGACACACGGCCCGCGCCCCGCGCCCCCCCGGGGACGCCGCCGGCTTCTGCAAAAATAAACTCGCCCCCGGCCCGCGCGTCCTCACAAGGCGTCCCCCGCGCCGCCGCCGCACGGGCTGACCAGCGCCAAGTTCGAGGGTTTGTGCTTCTTGAGCAGCCGCGAGATTTTCTCGTCGTCCGAGTTGGGGTCCAGGGGCCGGTTGTATTCGTCGTCGTCCTCCGCGTCCGAGCCGCCCACCTTCAGCTTCTCGGCGTCCGAGTCCTGCTTCTTCTTGGCCGACGCCATCTCCGCCGCGTGCCGCTTGCGCCACTTGGTCCGGCGGTTCTGGAACCACACCTGGGGGCGGACGGGGCGGGCGGGGCGGTCAGGCGGCCGCGGGGCAGCGGCGCCCGGGGCTGGGGACGTTCGCAGGACGCGGGCTCCGCTCTCCCGGGCCGGCCGCGCTCACCTTCACCTGGCTCTCGGTCATGCCCAGCGAGTAGGCGAGACGCGCGCGCTCCGGGCCCGCCAGGTACTTGGTCTGCTCGAAGGTTTTCTCCAGCGCGAAGATCTGCTGGCCCGAGAAGGTCGGGCGCGAGTGCTTCTTCTTCCCGTCCTTGTCCAGGACCCCGCCGGCCGGGGCTGCAGCGGAGGGAGGGGAGGGCAGGGGACCGGACGGGAGGGGGTCAGCGGCCGGCGGCTCCGCGCGCACCCGCCCCCTCGCCCCCGCGGCCCCGCGCCCGCCACTCACCTGGGCCGGCCAGACGCGGGTCTCTCCAGGGCGCGCCCTGCACCACGCCGGGCCAGAAGATGGGCGGGCGCCCGGGCAGCTCGGCCAGGGGCTTGGGGTAGCCGCGCGCCACGGCGGCCGCGGGCCCGAAGTAGACGCCGGCGGACGAGGCGAGCCCGTTGAGTCGGGGCAGGCCGCCCAGGAGGCCCCCGCCCGCCGCGCTCACCGGCCGGCCCAGGATGTCGCTGATGCCGTGCGGGGTCCCAAGCGGGAGCTGCGCGCCCAGACTGCCCAGAGCGGGCGCCTTGAAGCCGGCCGGGCCCTGCAGCGCGTAGGGGAACAGCGACGTCTTCATCTCGGCCATGTTGTGCAGCGCGGCCAGCGGGGCACTGCTCAGCACGAACGCGCCCGGGCGGTTAGTGTCCATGGGCGCCGCCGCCGCCGGCCCGGGCTCCCATCCGGGCCCCGCCGCCGCCGCCCCTGCCCGCCGGCCCGGGAAGTTTGTGCGCGGCCCGGCGGGCGTCGGCTGCAGCGCGGGGCGCGGGGCGCGGGGCGCGGGGGGGCGGCTCCGGCGCGGGGGGCGGGCGGCGGCGGCGGCGGCTCCGGGCCGGTCGGAGCGGCGCCGCGCGGGACGGACGCGCTGATAACGGGGGCCCCCGGGGCGCGGCGCGCGCGCTGATTGGCTACGGCCCCCGCGGTCCGGCCATTGGCCAGCGCCCCGCCCGCCCGCGCGCCCCCGCAGGCCGCGCACTCCATGAAGGGCCCATTAGCGCGGCAGGTGCCTCCCGGGCTGTAAATTTGCCCCCTGATTTATCTCCTTGGGGACGAAATAAATCCCGCTTGGATGGGAGTTTAGTTAGGCAAAGGTTTTAATGAGAAATCAGGAAAAAATACGAGAACATATTTTATGAAAGGAAAGAATGCAGATTTGAGACTCCGCCCGCGCGCTCGGAGCTCCCCACTCGGGAAGAGCCGCGGCTGCGTCCCGCTCGTGACTCTCCGCCGCCCGGGGCTGGGGTCGCTGTGGGCGGCCGCGGACGCTGGCAGGGAACGCGCTCCTGGCGGGTCCGGGCCTCGGAGTCCACAGACCACACGGCACGGCGAGGCCCGCGCGGATCTGGTTTCGCCATCGGGCGGCTGGCGTTGGCAGCGCGGCGACGCCGGCGGGAGCGGGGCGGGGAGGCGAGTCCCGGGGCCACACACGCGGCCCTGAGTCCCCCGCGCTGCCCGTCGTCCGCCTCCTGCCGGGATTTGGGGGTCTCCCGGGATGTAACCCGGGCCCACGACTTCGCCCACGGGCGGTCTCTCTCGAATCCCTGGTGGGGAGAACAGTGACCAGGGCCTCACGTGGGTGCGGGCTGGGAGCGAAGCGGCCTTAGAGGCGCGCGCGGGGCCCGGGCCCTCCCCGGAGCCAGGAGCCGCTCACGGATCCCGCGGACGAGCGTGGACTCCACTCCCGCCCCGGCGCAGGCGGCCGCCGAGCCAACGCTTCCACCTCTCAGGGGCGTCTCATACTAACTTAGGGACACGGGGCGGCTGACTGTGATCCGCCGCCCGTGGGGAGCCACGCCCCAAATGTGTGCACCGGGACAGCCGCCTCCGGACCTCGGGGGTCCCTTAGCAACGACTTTCTCGTTTCGCCGCGGCCGCCAGGGTGTCGGTGTGGCGGACGAAGGCGACGCTCAGGCTCGGGGCCGGGGCCTCACACCCGCGCCCGCCGCTCCCCTCTGGGCTTCTATTTTCGTTTTGTGCCGTTAGAGGCGGGGGCTCGGCGCTGCCGGTCGCTCCAGGGAGGCGGCTTGTTAAGCCACTTGCGGCCAAACTCCGGGGCAGTTGTGCGGCGGCTCCTGCCTCTGCGATGCGCGCCCGGGGCCCGGCGGCGCGGCGTAGGATTCCCCGCCACGGAGGTGCAGGCCCGCGCTCACGGGGGTGTCGCTTCCCCGGGCGGGTCCGCACTCGATTCGATTGGGATTGGGACTCGACTGGACGCCGCTGCCCCGCCGGAGATCGGTCCCTTTGGAGCGTGGCCGGGGACCCCCAGCGCGCGTCCGCCCGGCCCCGACCCGCCCCTCCGAGGAAATGCGAGGAAGGGCCCTCCAGGGTCGGGTTCCGGCCCCTACGGGAACCCCTAGGCGACGGCCCCCGGGGACTGCGGGCTGGGGGCGGGGCCGGCTCTCGCCCTGGAGCCCCAGCTCTGCGCAGCCGAACAGACCCCGGGCGCGCCAGGAGGGGCGCGGGTGGCCTGAACCGAGGCTAGGGGTGGCCCACGCGGGCGGGACGGCCGGAGGAAAGCCGCGCACCGGACCGGCTCTGCGGCTTCTGACACCCGGGGCGGGGCGGGGCTCGAGGCGTCGTTAGCACCGTTTTAGACCTTAGGAGATGGAGACTCGGAGGCGCTGCGCTGCGGCCGGGCGACCCTGCGTCTGTCTGCGCCGCCAGGTCCTCCCTGAGCTAACGCGGGAGCGCGTGGGTCGCGGGTGGGGTCGCGGGTGGGGTCGCGGGGCCGGCGTCTCACTGGCTCCGGAGTGCGCGGCTGTCCAGGGGCCAGGAGCTCGGAACGGGGCGGGCCGGGGCGCGGGATGGGGGCGCCTGGCGAGTTGGGGGCGCCGGCGGAGCCGGGTAAGGGCGGTCACTTTTCCAGGTTCTTCTAAGCCGTGGGCTTCTCGGCGCGCTCCGCAGGTCCCACCTGGTTCCCCGCCTGCGCCCCTTGCGCGCTCCCGCCTCTCCGCCCCGGGGCTGTGGGCCCGGCCCAGCGGCTACACCTCTGGCGCTTCCAGGTGCCAACTCCGGGCCCCCGCCCCCCTCTCCAGCCCCCGGCGGCACCTTTGCTCCAGCGTCCCCGGGCGCCGCCCCCTCGGAAACATCAGAGGCGACGCCCCCTCCTCCCAGGGAGGTCCGAGAGCCTCCGCCGCCTGGAGAGGTTCGCGAATGCCACCTCCTGGCCTGGGAGGAAACGTCAGCGCCGACGCTCAGCGCTGGAAAACCGAGCGCGCAGGTTGGCAGAGACCGTTCCACGTTTGTTTTATTCATGGAGCATGTATTTGTGGGGCTCCTCCTGCGCCCGGGCTGTCCTGGGGGAGCAACGTGAACGCTGCGGGCCCGGCCCCGGGAGCGGGCGGGTCAGGAGCGGCAAACGCGCCGCAGTCCCGCGGCGTCTGCAGGGGGTGGAGCGGGCGATGGAGAGGCCGGGCGGGGGTCTCGGGCCGGGAAGGAGAGCCGGCCTAGGCCCAGGTGTCCTGGTCCCGTGTCCGTTGGGGGCTGGGGGGCGGCGGGAGGGGCCGGCGGGCCCCGGGGACTCCACATCGAGGGAGCCGGGATTCGCCTTCAGACGCCCAGGCCACGGGAGTTCACAAAGCCCTGATTTATCACGGAAATGACTGGTCCCGCGCAGCCCTAGGCGGACTGCTAAGCTGCTTCTCTGACTGCGCCCCCGGGGCGGGGGTCTCCTGGTAGTCCCCGGCAAAGGCCCTGCTTGTCTTTTTCCTTAAGTGAGCGAGTTTCCAGCCTCTCCAAGCTTGACAAGCAATTGCACCGGGCATTCCAGACACAGACAGGGCTTCCCCGGGGCCTTGTGCCCAGAGCAAAAAAAGACCCAAGATGACCCAAGGGAACCCTCCGTGGTGGCCACCCATGGAAGCGGAGAGGTGGGGTTATCAGGGCCCCCCAGGAGCCCAAGCCGGGGCTGGAGAAAACCCCACCCCCACCCCCCAGCACAATAAGAGGGGCCCTGCCTCCCCCGCATCTGCAGTGCTCTCTGGGGCAGCCCGGCCGGAGCAGCAGCAAAGAGCTGGGAGTCAGGCGCAGATCCCAGCCAGGCAGCCCCAGGGCCCCACTGGGCCCACCATGGACCCAGCCAGGTCTGAAAGGCCATGAGCTCGGAGGGCTGAAGTGGGAACTGGCCCAGGGGTGGGTAGTGGCACCCCTACGTGGGCAGAGGAGACTTCTGTCCTCACCTCCGCCTAGGCTGCCTCTTCTCCCCCGCGCCTCCAGCGCTGCCTGCTGTGCCCCCCTGCTTTATCTCAGAGGCCTTGAGGCCCCGCCTCCACCTGTGGCCACCTAATTCCATCCCATGCCTGCCAGGCCCTCCCCTCGCAGCCCCCAGGCTCAGCCACCACGGCCACTCTGCCCCCCACTTTACATGGCTCACCTCCTCCACTGGGTCTCAGCTTGAGGGACGCCCCCTTGGCCACCTGGTCTGGTGCAGCCCTGCCCTCCCGCCCAGCACAGCCCCCGGCCAGAAGCACTGGTGGGTGCACCTGATGTCAGCTCCTTCCCCGCTGTCTCAGCACCTGGCTGCCCGCAGGGACCCTGCACTCTGGGCACCTCCGGGACTGAGTGAATGCCGCAGGGGGGTTGAAGACAGCTGCAGGCCTCAGAGGGGTTTTTTAGAGCCTCGGTGTGGGTGGCAGAGGGAGGACCACGCACCCCACTTCTCGCTGGGAGGAGCAGGCACTGGGGAGGGACCTCCAGACCCCTCCCCCCAGCCACAGGGCACCTCCCAGCGGATCCTGAGGTCTTGCTGTTGAGGCCACACTCAGACAGCCCCACCATCTATTGAGCTGGAGGGTGTCCATGAAGAGCCCAGGCAGCTTCTGGGGGGCCCAGCTCCGGGTGGGGTGTCCAGGTGCCCCGTCCTCCGGGCTATGGTGGCCTCTTGCCCACTCGCCAACACTCACTAGTCAATGTAAAGTGGAGGAGCAGGCTCCGGGGAGAGGACTCCGCTTCTCCCATGCTGAGAGGCCCAGGACAGGGTGGGTGCTTGCTGGAGGCTGGGACGGGGCCTCAGTGGCTGCCTGAGCACCCAACACTCTCCCTGAAAGATGTGGGCCAGGCTGTGGAATCTGGAACACCAGTGGGTCGGGGAGACCCTCGGGGGGCTAAGAAAGGGCACGGGGAGGGGAGTGGGCAGGGGTGCCAAGGCTGCCCACCTCCCCTGGCAGGGAGCAGCTTCACTGGCAGGCAGGGCTGGTGGACCTGGAGGGCAGGGGAGGGAGAGCTTGCTGCAACTCCAAGCGCCCCTTTGGGGTGGGCCCCACGAGCCTGGGCTTTGCAGAAGCTCTGGCCTCACTGGGCCTGAACCGGCCGGGCCCCGCCCTGAGTGCTGAGCCCCGGGTTTTTCTCCAGCTCCTGTTCATTCAGAGTCACTTATTTCAGTAAATGCAGCAGCCTCAGAGCAGCACCCACCGAAAGTTCTTCCCCTCGAACTGAGTTCTCCTGTCGTCCCGGGCGTCCCTTTCTTGTGATGGAGACGCTGTGGGCTGCCTGCCCACTCACACACGGCTCTTCACCTGGACCCTGCAGCCTCTTCGCCCACCCACAGTCTCCATCCCAGGCTGTCTGGGGCGGGGGGTGGGGGCGAGCAGTGCCCGAGGTGGGGCAGGGGCTGGACACTGGGCCTTCTGGTCTCCCCGATGGCTTAGCCTTGGGTTCTGGTGGGCACAGTAGAAACTGCTGATGGTGCTAGGAGGCGGTCGTGCCCTGACAGGAACCAGACGGAGGGCTCTGAGGGCCCCACAGTGCCACCAAGAGACAAGGTCCCACCTTC